TGATTAATCCTTTTGCAAACTTGTTTGCTTCCCAAGAAAACTTATAATAATCAATAACCAACATGAAGAATAGAAAAACATAGGAAACGGAATTTTATTTCCATGAAGGTGTCAAAAGTAAAAACTTATTATTTATTGAAGTTGGAAATCTCATCCCATGTTTGTTATTTTCTTGTCACTTTCTTAGCAACCAAACACGGCTCCTTCTATCCATATTGATTTTTTTCATATGGTTCCTCTAAATTATTAGAAATCCCTAGATTGGTACTTTGTGGATCTGCCTTAATGGGGGCGTAGAGTTAGAAGTTGGGGAATGGTAAACTCAAATTGATATTTTCTCTCTGTTGTGCCATACACAATTTTTTTTTTTTTTTGTTAATGTTATTGATCTGCTTCTTTCTCTAGAGGGATTTGGTTATTGCTTTCAAGCAAATATATATATGTAATATATATTTTTTTATATCTTTTACAAATCTCTTTTCATTTTTTATCTCAATATTTAAATTTAAAACATTTAACTTGAACTCTTTAGATTTTAAATCTTAAAATAAAAATTTCATATGAAGATATTTGAGTGACTTGCTGCCCTAATCTTTAAGTACTTAATCTTGCATCACTTTCAGGTTTACCATGGCATCAAAGTTGCCTAAGTTAAGGACAACTGCTGTTCAAGCTTCACAGTGTTTAACCAAGATTAATGCTGCTCAAGCTTCTCAGTTTGTGGCCGAGACTGCTTCTCAAGCTTCGCAATTCGTTACCAAGAGTGGAACTTCCTTCTATAAGGAGTTGCTGGAACGAAACAAACAATATATCCAAGATCCAGCCAATGCAGAGAAATGTCGATTACTAGCAAAACAGTTGTTTTACACTCGTCTTGCCAGGTTTTCTTTCTTGGGCATATGGAATTGGTTACTATAAATATTGTTTCTTCTGCCTAAATTATTATTACCAAACATACACCATGATGCTACCGTGTTTGAAAATGATTTCAAGAATTAATTAGATTTTGACTTTGGCACATAGATAGCCTTGTTTTAGTTACTAATGTTGTTTTCCTGCTAACATCCACAGTATTCCTAGTCGTTATGAGGCATTTTGGAAGGAGCTTGAATCCCTGAAGACCCTTCTGAAGAACAGGCAAGAGTTGAACGTAGAGAAAGCTGGCCTTGCTACCCTGTTTGGACTCGAGTGCTTTGCTTGGTTTTGCATGGGTGAGATTATTGGCAGAGGGTTTACTATTACAGGTTACCATGTTTAAAACTACAACTGCTTCAGTAGCATCATTCAGCTAGTCATTAAACCTGAGCAAACCAATATGACTTGCATTGGAAATTGCTTCTCTTAAATTTTTTGAACTGTTTGATCAACCAGGCGCAAATCCTAGAACAATAATAATAACCTGAAGTTTGTTGATTGTTCCTTTATTTCCATTGCCTTGTCATGGTGCTCATGGATGGAATCATGCTCATATTTAGCTCTCTTGATTGTTCATGGTACATGCTTGACTAAGTTGACTTGTTTTAAAGAATACAATGGGGAATGTTCTTTCTTATGTTCTTCGAAGGTTCATATTAATGAACATGTTTTCAAATGCATTACAGCTAGAAACTTTATGAGTTTGAATTTAAGGAATCGAATCACTGCATAATAATAATTTGCCTGTTGAAATTAACATCTAGAGAACATGTTTAAAAGGACAAAAGAAACAGAGAAGAGGTATTCATTTTCCTCTTCTAGGTCAACTTCAATATCAAGTTCAAGATAAAGTTCTAAGAATTATAAAATTTGCACAATTCTTTTCGGTCATTAAGATTTATTACGGTTTTTTTTTTTTAATTTAAGCTGACAATTTTTATTTAATTTAACCATGTATATAATTTAAGTGATATGACTAAAACAATAAAGTTAAAAAAATATTTTATAAAGTAGACTATATATTTAAGATATTTTTAACAAAATTATTTTTTATATTATTTTATTAAAAATATTTTAATAAATTTACAGATGATTGCAATTTAATATATAGCCTGTCTTCTAAAATATGAAGCTCATAAAGTTGAAGGATCTGTTCCCTTGTTCTTTTTCTTTTTTTTTCATGTGAAAAGAGTTTATTTAGCTGGGTTGTTAGAAATAATTGATAGTGTATAGAATAACTTATACTAATTTAAAATTAGCCTATGAGTTGAAGTTTTCAAGTGCTTTAATAAGTTGTTTAAGGAAAAAAGGTTATAGGTAGATAACTTAAAGAATTAGATTTATCAATAAATAAATGTTATTATGCAAAATAAGTTTAGGATTTAAGTCTTTGAAATTAATATTTAAAAAAATTAATTTCTTTAAATGTACAACGCCAATGTTAGGAAGAAGATTGTCTTGATGTATGCAAAAATTAACTAAAAAAAGACATCCTCATTATAAATATAGAAAAAATTATAAACTACTAAAATCAATCAAACCAAAATACTTTCATATTTTCTTTTAATATTTGTTAGAGAATCTTATTTTACTATTTAAATTATATTGAATTATAAATCATGAATCTTTAAATAAATTTTGACCCCAACACTTAGATCTAACGGTCTAACGGCCTAACAGTTATAAATCAAGTTGTAAAGTGCACTTCTAAATTCAAAAATTAAAATTTGAATCTCTTCTCTTAAATGTAAACCCATTAAAAAAAAAAATTTCCTAAGCCCCTGATACTACACAATAATTTTTCCTATTTTATATGTCATAGACTCATATTTAGAGTTTTTTGCTCACCTTCTTGCTTGCAATCGTAGTGTTATGGCAAATTTGGTTAACGAAAGTTAAGGGAAATGGTGGGGGAAATTTTTCATCGTCTTAATTTAATTGGATGAATTTATAAATTTGACATAATATTAAAATAAAAGGGCCATTCATTCTAATCTATCTGGATCCAAGTCAATGAGAATGGGTCTCATTCTACGAGTATGAAAGCAATCATTATGACGTGGTGTCCAGAGAGTATGAAAGCTGCCACCAGGGTCAGAACCAGGTTGGTGGTGCCTCCTGAGATTTTTCATGCTCTGTCCGTTTCCTTCTCCTTTTTTTTTTTTAAAAAAAAACAAGGAAATATTATAAATAAACAAGTTGGAGAAATTAAGAAAAAAAAATGTTGATATGATTCTCCTTTGCTCATAAATCACACAAAATTGAGAAATAAATTATTCAAAATTTCTTTTTTTTTTTTATTTACCAAACATCATAAATCAATGAAAAATGATGGTTAAAATCAAGTTTTGAGATTAAATTTTAGGACAAATCTATAGTAACCATAAATTGATCCTCATATCTAGTCACCGACCTACATACCTGATTATTAAAATAATCTTGATTTAAAATTTAACCTCAAGAATCACTGCTTTAGATTCTTTTTTTTATATGGGTTTGTGTAACTTTTGTATTTTGAACATGGATTAAGAGTATATTAAGTAAAATTTTTTATCATAAATTTATATTAAAAAATAAAAATTAACTTTTAATTTATTAATTATTTAATTAAATTCACTCACTTGATACTGATATTAAAATTAATATCAATTTTTTAAATTTTTTTATATATATTTATAATAAAAAAATATTTTTAATCTATGTACTAAGAATATAAATTAAAAAAACTCTTTATATATATATTGAACAAATTAAAATTATTTACATATTAATTAAAAAAATTTTTGTAAAATTCGAACACGCAACTCAGATAAAGTAAATGATCCTAATCCAGATTTCATATCACTTATTGGAGCAGTTCAAAAAACTCTTTTTATATAAGTAAATATATCTATTAAAAAATATAAAAGATACTTTGCCCTTTAATAGAATATAAAATTAAGGGTTTTTTTTTATTTTTTTGAAAAAGATTAAGTATTTTAAAAGTAAGAGAAATCCCCAGAAGGTTAATAAGAACAACAAACCGTCTAGCCTTCAGCAGAACATAATTGGGAAAACAGACTCCAGCCGCTTAAATTGAATTTCGACAGCTCTGATTTTTCTTTGATCTGGCAGACAGGGCGGATCCACTTGGAGCCGGCGGGGGGCGGTGGCCTCTTCTGGGAATTAAAATATATATATTAATTGATTAATTTTAATTATTAAATTTTAAATATTATATTTTTAATTGTTAAAATACATAAAATGAAAAAAGATTTTACCCATTAAAATAGTGGATCATGTTCATAAGTTCAATTGTAATTCAGATTTAACATTAAAAATCATTTAACACTTTAACTTAAAAATAAAAAACCCAGTTTTTTTGTACCGTTTGTGTGACTGCCGCTACCGACTAGCTCCCTGTCTTTGTTCAACATTCAACTTCAAAAGAAAAACAACTCAAGGAATCAAGCCATCAAGTCAAGGTATTAAATTAGTGAAATCACAATTGTTTTTTATTCTTTTAATTTTCTTACGGACTAAAAATAGTCTATTCTCTTTTCAGCTTTTTGAATCAAAGAAAGATACATGTTCAAAAAAAAAAAAAAGAAAAAAAAGAAAGAAAGATAAACTGCAGCCTCCACCCTCTACTACTGTTATAATTGAAGGGACCAGCCTCTCATTCAACAATTTAAAGAAAGTTGGTGTAATTTTTTACTTAAAAAGATAAAATTATTTTGTAAGAACAACAATATACATTTTCATGACATGCTTGGTACTTATATTGCATGAGAAGGACGTGCTCGTCATCAACAAGATATTATTACTGTTAAACACCATTATCAAGTAAATATTTTCTATGCTATAGTAGATTTTCAATTGTAAGAATTGAATGACAGATTTAATAAAAATGTAATGGAACTATTGATTCTTAGTGGTGCTTTGAATCTAAAAATAGGTGCAAGAATTTCAATATTGATAATATTTGAAAATTTATAGAAAAAAACTATCCTCAAGATTTTTTAGAAATGGAGAAACTTCATTTGAGAATATAGTTTTGACATTATGCGATTGAAATAAGTTGTGATCAAGGTTTTTAAAATTTGTCAAACATTTTAAAGTTATGTTAATGGCTTGTGCATTTACAAATTAATTATTTTGGTATTTATTCTTTCAGTTTTTATAGTAACAATAGAAAAAGAATTTTCTGCCATGAAAACTATGAAAATAAGGCTTCACAACAAAATAGAGGATAAATTCTTTTCAAGTTCTTTGATTATTTACATTGAAAATGAAATTGTTCAAACATTTAGTGTAAGTTTCATTATTAATAAATTTCATGACATGAAAACTCATCGAATATTATTTTAGTTTATGATGTAAAAATAAGTTTTTAAAATTATAATACACTATTTTAAGATTTGAAAATTTGGCCCTCGGCCAAAATTCCTTGCTCCGCCCCAGCTGGCAGATGGATTTTACTTGAATTAACTCAAATATTTTGTCTTTGTTCAAGGTTGTATCTAAAAATAATGGCATTTCTGTCAGCTGTTTGATTTTTTTTGCATGCATCTTTAAGTAATGATAATGAATGATAGTTTTTAAGATTTCTATCCTTCGTGAGCAAAAACCAACATCTATTAGATCTCATTCAACAAGTAACTCCACGCTCAAAATTCCAAAAACTAATATATTATTAAGGAAAATGATTTTAAGATAATTTTTTGTATCATTATTTTTATAATTTAATATGTTATTTAAAAGATTAATTCATTAAATTTATGTAAAATTTATGATATTAAATATATTTACTTGTTGAATAATATAAAAAAATATAATAAAAATTAATATAAAACAATTATTCCTACGTCACCGCACATATTATTAATCTGGTCTAGTGATATATATACTCCATGCCGATGAGAAGATATATATATATTTTTTAAACATATTTTGTCAGGATGGGTTTCAAACTCTATTCGAAGGAGGAATGCATTAATGTCTAATGCTACTGGACCTCAAGTGCTAGGTGCGTATTAGAAGACTTTTTTAGTTCTGCTTTTAAGGCAATTTTAAAATCCAATTCAAACTTATTATATGTTTGTGGCACAGAAAAACATTAATTTTACCAGTAAATGAATACTAACTTTTCAACAATGTGTACCGACACTATTGAGGAAAGTCACGAATAGTTACGATTACTTAATATTTTTTTTAAGTCACTTATAAATTATTTTATTTAATTGATATTTTATTTACTTATAATTTTTTAAATAATTAATTATGATATTTAAAAATATTAATTTATAAATTAATTTTAATTTATTAAATAAAATTATTTTATTAATCATAAATTATTTTT